GATCAGCACAAGTTGGCAGAAGGCACCTTTGTTGCGCTTGTGGTGGGGAGGTGGGCGGATACCAAAGGAGTGGGCTACCATCCGCCACACGGGTTTCACCGCCACGCATTGGAACAACGCGTGATCCTGCGATTCAACTGCGTGACAGTTCGGGCAACGTGCATCCGGGACTATTCCAAATTTATGCAGGCGTTGTCTGGTGGGGAGGACGGCCCAGGCCTTTTTCAGGAGGAAATCCTGTGCATCACGGGGGGTGCCGCAACGGAGCGAGAGTAATTCGCGCCTCACGCGCTCAGCTAGTTTTTGTTCAGTGTCGCTCAGCTGCTTCCGCGTGATGGCTTCAACGATGCGCGCTGGCGGGTCCTCATCCACATCGCCTTCGGGCACTTCTTGCCTCAACATGCGCCAGGTAGCCGACGCCGTTTTATAGAAGGGCGCGGGTGCCTCAGCAAAGGGCCCGGTGTGGCGGCCTGCATCCAGCCAGTCGTGCTTCACTCCACTCCAGTAGAGGAGTAGGTTGCGCCCTAGGTAATCGCTCGCGCGCGCGAGCATGCGTGTGGTTTTCAGGGCCAGGACTCTGCTCGTGGTCAACACATGTGGTAGGCCGAGACCCCCTTCTGACACTGCCAGTTGTAGCAAGTTTTGCTTCAATGGTGGCGGTTTCTCATCCCAGAGGTATGCGTTAATGAACTTGGTCAACTGGCTTGCTGTTCTTGTGGGCATCACTGCTACTCGGCTCGCATGCGAGGCTAGGGTGCAAATGCTTGTTTTGACAGCTACTGCTTTCTCGCATAGCGTCAGGCCTTGTAGGCTAGCGCTCTCTGACACTTGTGCAGCCCTGTCCACGACTCGGGACCACGTTGAGGCCGTAACTCCCTCGCGGGAAAAGTATATACCGAGGACCTTAACAGCGGTGACTATCTCGAAGTTGCCGATCACGTGCGCCGGGAAATGGCCGAATAGGAGGGCTTTACACTTCTCATTTAGCTGTGCACCTGATGCTAGGGCGTATGACACGAATACCTGGTGAAAGCGCTCGAGACTGCTTGGATCTCGCACAAAAAGGGAGATATCGTCAGCGTATGCGAGGACTTTCAGGTGCGCAGTTCCTGTGAGAGGAAGGCCCCGGATGTGCGCGTCGCTTGCCAGGGATGTAAGTAGCGGCTCTATCACGAGTACAAAGAGGGTTGGGCCAAGCGGGCACCCCTACCTGATCCCTCTCGTGTACTGAAAGGTGTCCGTCGTGGAGCCATTTGCTAATACGTGGCGCCTGAGGTCTGAGTACAGGAGCCTTATCACTTGTACAAAGCTTGCCGGTAGGCCAAACTCTCGCAGGGTTTCGAACAGGTAGGTGTGCCTGACCCTATCGAAAGCCTTGGCCTCATCAAGTAAAAAAAAGGCTCCAGTGACTCTTTTCTCCGAAGCGTACTGGAACACGTCCCTTGTCGTGGTCAGGTTGGTGAACATTGATCTGCCCGGGACTGCGCAAGCCTGGTGTGGAGCAATAATATCCGGCAGAAAGGTCTTTAGTCGGATGTTCAAGATTGACGCCACGATCTTGTAGTCTACATTTAACAACGTGATTGGGCGCCAAGAAGCAGGGTCGTTCGGCGGTGCACCTTCTTTAAGAATGAAGACTACGCGCCCCATGCCGAAGGAGGCAGGTTTCGCGTGTCCCTCGAGGACCGTGTTGACTATGGCTACGACCGGTTCACATAGGCTCTCGAAAAAGGTGGCGTAAAAGCCCGCTGTGAGGCCGTCCGCACCGGGAGCCGAGTTTGGTGGCATTGACTGGATAGCGGCCCTCAATTCCGGTAACGTCGCTGCGCCGCACATAGTCAGGCATTCATCCTCTTCCAGACGCTTAAGGAATTTACACAGCTCCGACAGGGACGCTGGCTCCGAGGCGATCATTGTGGCGTCCAGCTCGTGAAAGGCTGTCTCGAAGTGGTGCAAGAAGGTCGCCTCGAGCTCGACCGGGTCTGTCGCGAGGGTACAATCTGGGCGCTTTACTTCTGCAATACGCACAGAGCCTTTCCCCTTACTTTGCGCGAGACTACCTCTGGCTGCTCGTTCGAGGCGGCCCAAGTCGCGCGCTTTTAGCCAGTAGCTGCCCCAAGAAGCCGTTCGTACTGCACCTTGAGCGAGGCTAGGTAATCTCGTGTACAGGAGTTGAGGGTGTCAGCACTCTGAATGATACGCATTCTGCGCAGTAACTCGTTCATCTGGGACGTCAAGCGCTTTTTCCTTTTACGGCCTTCGTCTTGGAGGAGCACCTTCCAGGCCTGATTGAGGTCATCCCAGGTAGTCGATGTTACGCGGGTGGATGCTCTAATCGAGGCCTCTATGAGCGTCTCGATCTGTGGTGCGGACACCGGATCCTTTAGTAGTGCAGAATCCAGGTGCCACGATGCGTCGGCTGGTTTGGGGCCAGGCTTTGCATGGAGGGTTGTTAGCAGTGGCGCGTGATCAGACAGAGTGGCCAGAGGGGGTGGCAACGGGACCACCTCGCACGCTGTTAGGGATGGAAGTAGGAGCTCCGGTAAGTACGCGCGGTCTAGCCGGCTAGCGGTGACCCTCGACACGCGGGTGCGGCCGAAGTCGTCGTCGTGGAGGCGGACCCATGCGTCTGAAAGTCGGAGGCGTTCGAGAACTTTGATCAGTTCTTTTGCATGGTAGGCTGAGCCTCCGCAACTTGGTCCCCGGATATCCCTCGCAGTGTCGACCACACAGTTAAACTCTCCAAGGACTACGTGCGGGAGGGGGGCCAGCAGGTACTCGCCAAGCTCCCTGAAAAAGGGGTTCGTCTCCGATCTAGTTACTGGCACGTACACGTTCACAAACCGGACTTTCTGCCCATCGATGAAGATGTCAAGCATTAATGTGCGGCCGTCAGCGCCAAACACGCAATGGGCTTTTTTCCTAAACCTCCCGGTGACGAACACAACCCCAACCCCGCATGACCTGGTCCTCGTCAATGAGAAGAAGGCTTCGACGTGACAGAGGCTGCGGAAGCGAGCGACGTCGAGGGGGGATCAGAAATTCGTCTCCTGGACGAACAACAAGTCGATGCTGCGGGCTTTCGCAAAGGAAACGACCGCGGTTTGTTTCGTCGTGTCGCGGAAACCGCGAACATTCCAAGTGGCGAAACGGATTCGGTCAGCCATCAGCCGCACTATGGTGGAGTGGAAACGAGGGGGGTACGTGAGTGTGTGGAAGGGAGGGGTGGGGGCAAGGGGAGGCAGCGCATGGGAGAGTGAAACAGGAAGGGGCAAACGGCGGCGCCGGCGCACACGGGCACTGTCGTCTGTAACGAAGCGAAGGTGTTATCAGATCGGCTCGCCGGCTTTAGGGGGCGGTTCCTCTTTGCCTGCGGCGCTTTGGCCGAGCTTCTGCGTCTTCGCCTTCGGTGGGGCATCGCTGTCGCTCGCCGTCGCTTCTGGCCCAATTCGGCGTTGTCGCGCCTCTCTGCTTGTGGCTCTCCCTCTCGTTTCTTTCTTGTTCTCTCCCTGGCGTCGGCGCGAGCGCAAACGAGCTCTCTGCTCGCGGCCTGGCACCCGCTGGGACGCGAGTGGGTCAAGTTGGCGGCCTGTGTAGGGCGACGCTTTACCGGAGGGGGGCTCAAAGGAGAGGGGCTGGTTTATTTGAGCACGGTCTTGGTCGTCAGGGAGCGCGTAATACCCGCGGCTCACGATGGGCAATTCGTCCTTGGCGGGGTCATTGGTAGCGTCGTCCAGTCCTGGGCGCACACTCGGGCCAACACGTTAACGGGTGTTTGGAAGGCGGTTGGGGGGGGGGGGGGGCTCACTTCGCTTGAAAGTTTCGGCAAGCACCGGGAAGTTGTGGCGTTCGTCTTGGACTGACGGGGGGACGAATGGCATAGACGGGGACGATTGGGCCGAGATGGTTTCGAGGTCGCTCGATTCCGTTTCCGATGACATGGTGGCGGCATCGTCAGTCTTCTCGGGCTTGTCTTCCTCGTTGGCGGATGAATCCACTGCAGTGCTTCCTATGAGCAAGCTGGCATCCGTTTCGCGGCCTTGGGGGGAGGGAGGCCTTGGGGGGGGACGCGGGCCGCGGTCCTGGGTACGAGCACTTGTAAGCGAGAGGGGGGTTCGCCTGGCTTCTGCGACGGGGAGCCACGGCTGGACCGAGTTCGATGCGAGGTCCGATACCGAGGGGTACCCACGAGTGGCTGACGCATAAGAGCGCCTCCTAAAACATTCTTTCGCTACGTGGTGACCCCCGCAACGCTTACATTCGGCTGAACAGCCCTCAGTTTCATGACTGAAAGTTCCGCATCGTTTGCAGTATGGTGTAGCGAAACGTCGGGGTTGTTCAAGTTAGGCGCATCGGACGACCAGGGAGACGAATAAGTGTGGTTGAAACTCCGCGGAGGCAATCGATGAGAAGTCAACACGATGAATTCGGGGAGCACTCATTGGGGGTTTATTTAGCTAACACAACTTTAAGTTACAAAATGCACTGGGTTACAAAGACAAAACATAGAAAATGGTGGCATACCCCTCGGCCCGCATAGCTGGTCTCCGGTGGTGAGATCCGCCGTTGACCCCGACTCCGCTCCCCTCACTTTTCAAGTTCAAACATCCTCTTTTAAACCCTTGGTCGAACAAAGAGTCTTCACAAAAACCAATCACATGTTCGGACTCGCAGCATCTCAACCAATCACAGAAACACTTTCATAAAAGGCACTACATTTGTAAAAACCTCCTTACCCATATGAAACACGCAAAGGGAAAGGTCCTCCGCACGTGACACTCTCTCCCATACCAGGCCGTGCTGCCTCCTTCGGCCGACTACCGTCGGCGGCCGTTCCCACGCTCGGGCCCCGTAAGTTCTTTCATTAACTGTTGCTTTCTAGAAGCGTCCTTAAGAGCAATGGGTACACCATTGCTTACCAGGTGTACATGCGACAGCGAGGCGCCCCGAAATCCTAACAAGAGCGCGGGGGAATATGGTCGTTTACCGTGTTTTTCACTGGGAGATTCAGAGCGACCGCCGAAATCCCGGAGCGAGCACTCGGATCGCACGAAGCCACCTCTGCCAGTGAAACACGAGAATGCTCCGTGAGAGGTGCCCCGGAAGTTGATTATGCATACGTCACGCAAACCGGTTCCGGAAACAGTTTATTTTTCCGCTCTCTTCGTTTCCTTGGCAACTTTGGCCGCCACTGCAGGGCGCGCATTTCGACCACGCAGTTAAAGCTTTGTAGAACACTTTAACGCAGTCGCGAACAGCAGTTGTGTAGCAAGTATGGACGAGCACGCGGAATTGACACCGGCTGTGCGTCGGCTGTTGCTGGGCGTTTTCAGAAACAGCGGCAACGATCTGAACGGTAAGTGCGACGTACTTGACGCTGATAATAAACTCTGCACGGAATGCTAACTTTGATAGCTCCGCATGAAGACTGGTCAGATAATTGTAAAGCATGCGGGTACACGTGGTAACGGCCGCAATCGGCGCTCGCAAAAATACGGCATGTTGTGAGCAGGCTTTTTTTTTTAATCAGAGCAGTTGCTTACCCAACACCTTACAGTCCTACTATTTAGAATATCACAAGCGCCGGAATTTTCGCAGCGCTCACCAAGCTGCTGTATTACCTTTAATAAAAATGCATGGCGATCTCTGTATTCGCGCATGAATACATGCATGAAAAATTTACTAGAGAAGTAACGTTTTCTTGGTGATTCTTGACCTCTACTCTTTTGGTGTTAACCCGCAAATGTCTTTTCTTTTTCTCTATTTGAAGGTGCTACACAGTGTGACGCCACCGACGCTTTGTCACATACACAGGGCGCATTTTTAGGAAATGGTAAATTGGTCTACATGTGTCTCTGTAGAACTAGTTTTGTATACAGTCGTCTATATATGTAGAGGACAATGCCTTGACGAGCAACGTGTAAGGACTACTTGAAGAAAATTGTGTACCTGCTTAAATTAACACATATTAACATACTACAATGCTTTTCAATTATCAAACACAGATTCTGCAGCGTCTACTGGTGCGTCACCAAGTCGGGCTTGTCAGCCAGGGACTCCTGCACGTGGTAAGCATGCATACACAAACATGCTAGTGGCATTAGGATGAAGATAGGTCCAGCAGATTGCAAACCCTCTCAAAAAAACCACGAATTACGCAAAACCATTTAATGGCTTCTTGCTCACGCTTCTCAATATTGGGTGCTTAAATAATAAAATTGAATTCAACGAATAGTCAGCTGCACGAAGAGGCCCCATATTTATTATGCAGTGTTTTCAAATTTACTCTCTAAGAAAATTATGCTGTGAATAAGTTATGTATAGTAATATTATGAATTTGCATGATTGTCTGTTCTGATATGCAAAGCGATCCCCACAGCACCCAATATTTGCTGTGCCAAAACAGTGTGACAGTACTAATGCTTTACAGTAAGTGTTCTATGGCTCAGAGAGCATATAGCTTCGTGCCCTGTATCAAAAAAGTCTATTAATGCCAGTTTATATGTATTTTATGTGTGTATAATGCATATTTCAGCTGCAGGGTGTGAGTGGACGAGTGGCGAGACGAAGCTGCTGCTGGACCTCTACGCCTCATATTTCCCTCAAGTTGGCCCTCTGAAAAAATTTCGCAACAAAAAGGCCATGTTTGAAAAAATTGCAACAGACATTAATAATAAACTGGGTGTAATGAGAACTGGTGAGCAGTGCTGCTCTCGGTACAAAACCGTACTGAAAAGAAAAAATGTGGCAGCTGGGAAAATAATACGTCTGGCTGTTCCCCACAAGAAGTCCCCTACGAGGCCGAGCTTGAAAAAATCAAGTGGCTGGACGACAGCTTGGAACCAGAAGTGGTACGCGACGCAAGTGGAGTGGTATCAAAAAAGACATGTCCACAGTCATCCACCGAGTCTGTTCCACTTGCTGGTTCAAGCTCGTCAACGTCACACTCTCCATCCAGCTCCGTTGGGCAGGACGACACTCCTGATTCAAAAAGAAAACGCCCGAATTCAGCACGCGAGCTCCACCTGCAAACCTTCTTTGAAAAAATGAAGGAGTTAGATGAACGGCGAGCAGAGCGAAAGGCTGAAAGAGACAGCAAGAGGGAAGAGCGACGACTTGCTAAAACACAGCGACGAGAAGAAATGCACAAAGAAAAGATGAATCTTCTCCGTGAAATTTTCAACTTGAAGAAAAATGAATAAAATGTGAAAAGCATGTTTATTGTAAGCATTGTACACATGTGCACGTTGGCAGGCGCATTGATAACAGATTGACAATGTTTGTTGTTGAGGTGAAATAAGGGTTCCAGGGCCCTTTTACAAGACAAAGTTGCAATGATCATTATAATTTCACGCCGTTTTGATGGTAAGAAAAGCTGAACAAAGACTAAGAAATGCAGAACGTTTGTCCATGCAAATTTTCATCAGGCAAATGAAATGTTAATGCACAAGCAATAACCAAATTGCATGACAAAGAAGCCATTTCTCACAGCAGCAGTCACCATGCCTAAAGGACCCCTGACAAATTTTGTTTTGACTTGAATGCTTTAATTAAGAGCATTGTGTCCGGTAGTCCCCAAACTTTGATCATAAATATTGCAATGTACTGTGTAATTAATGCAAGAATGGCTCCTTGTGACTAATTTTGGCATCACTGTAAAACTACTACTGGAATCACAAAAAATTACACAGCGAACAATCTCAGGAGTCATAAGACTATGTAGACTCGGGCTTTTGTGACGTTCAGAGCGCACTTTTTGAATTTGGGCACCATGCGTGGGAAACAATGAGTCGGGATGGGTGTTCATTACGAATATTCCTCGAAGCGACAGGTTTAACTGACAAGCATAGTGCCCCAACTGCAAGACAAACAACACAAACATTTCAAGCTCGTAATTTTGGTGACATTGTTCCATTAACACAAATGCTCCTCAGTGTAGCCTGCACTAGCTTGGACTTATGCCAATGTCACTACATGTTTCTCAGAATGTTTGTGGTGGCTGACGAGAGCTGGAGCCCAGCTATGTTTGGCCGGTTGACTTTGTCACTTTCTCGTGTCTCACCAGCACGAAGAGTGCAGTTACTATCAATATCACCAGCTATCTTCAGCTGCAGTAGCCATACCGACCAACACGCTGCGGCGTTAGCACTAGTCAGCAATAAGCATGCTGATGGCTTCGCATAGGAAACAATTACACTGATCCAGTCAGATTCCTGCAAACATCTTGGGTTGACTCACGCTATGTGGAAGCTGCTACGTGTCACAAAGCTAAGAAACAAAAAAATCAGGCTGCGCCCTAGCAAGATGAGTCACTACAACACAGTGCGGCATGCATTTTAGCTGGTTAGTACAGTGTTTCCTGTAGAAAACAGTGCTAAAGGATGGGACAAAGCAGGGACACAACCATGGCAGAGACACAACCATGGCACTGACTAACAGCCAAATGTGTCTTATTCTTCCAGTCTAGGTATATACACTCCACCACTAATCTGAAGGGTGAGAAAAAGCAAAAAAAAGACACACACAAATGTTGGCTGACTCAGGAGGAAAGAAATGCTCAATAAGACAGGAGAGGTAACTCCTTCAGAGAGAGGGAAATATAAGGGAAACTGATGCATGTTTCGCCGCCGTTGTAAATGATACGCTTCAGAAATGAGGGGCATGCATTTATCATGATTCTATTTTTTTTTGTTTCCTTGAGATTGTGGTAAAGTATATATACGCGGATTAGAAGAATAAAACGAATTTGCTTGTTAGTCAGCGCCGTAGTTTGTGTCCTTGCTTCGTCCCGTCTTTTAGTGTTATTTTCTGCTAGAAATCTCTACAACACGAAACAAAATTTACAACACCTTAACGTTTCTTGTTTTGTGTACACGTAGGCAGTCCTAACTTTAAATCAAATGCGCATCGCTTGCATTAAGCGCTCACGCTTCTCCTCGCCTTGGCGACGCAGTGCATCTTCAGTTGATGCAAGCGGGCCATTGTTGGGGTGAACATCATCCGGTTGTGCCTCCCATTCCCACGGTGCATGTTCATCATCGATGTACGGCGGCACATCCACATCACCACAATTAATGCACATATTGTGCAAAACACAACAAGCTATAATGAACTTGTTCATTTTGTCTACAAACAGAAAGTCCAGGTGCAGCAGCTGGCGGAACCTGGCCTTGAGGTCTCCAAAGGCATTCTCAATCTTCACTCTCGTTGCCGAAAAGTGATAATTGAAGGCGCGCTGCCTCGCGTCAAGGTGACCATAATTCCTGAATGGGGTTATGAGGTAATCTCGAAGCGGGTAGGCAGCGTCCCCGAGAACGTGGTACTTCCCGGAACAGCACACATGCGGCAACTTTGAAGAAAGCCTCGATGTCCTGAAGATTCTCGAATCGTGAATCTTGCTGGGGTGTCCAGTAGTCACATCGAGAAACTTCTTTTTGTGATCACACAGAGCTTGCAGTGTCAGTGACGGATAACTGTGCCTGTTCACATAGGTTGAACGCACTTTTTTTGCAGGGCAGCGGATGCTTATGTAGGATCCGTCAATGCAACCGATCGTGTTGGGCACTCCTGACACCTGTGACAGTGAGAGAAAAAGAACACACCTGTAGTGAACTTCTTGAAGTAAATAATCTTAACACTTGATGCAGTAGTTTTGTTGGTCTTAGCGGAGTTAACTTTAGGTGACACAAGTCTTTTACATGCCAGAACTATGGAATCATTGTACGGAACACCACAGCAAAAGGCATTAGAAATTTTAAGTGCCAGGGGTCCCTTTCAGGGTGTCTACCAATTTCATATTTCTAAATTCCTTGAATTTCCCAGGTTTTCCATCATGATTCAAAGCAAATTCCATGACTGCCACGTTTGCATGGAAAACACTGTACACTGCAAACAAACCCGAGTAGAAAAAAAAAACCGGGCGCTCTATAAAGGTAAACATAATTACCAGACGCACTCAAAATGTTCTCAGGGCATGCGACAATTGTGAAAAAACATGTAAATCTGGCCAAAATAAAACCCCTGAGCTAGGCAGTGAGCAAGTCAGCTGTTTGATGTTCCGAAGAACCAGGAAGAAAACACACAAGTTAAGAGTAACCGCAGATGAAGTTTGAAGGTGTCTGCGATCGTTTGACATCGCAGTCAAAGCTGCTGAGAAACTTAGAAGTGGTGCCATTTGGTGGCATTCGTGTAAAATGAAAACACAGGAGCCTGGCCGGTTCTGCCACTGGAGTAAAATCTATTTTACTATAATGGCTGTAGCCCACGCCGGTTAGGATGTGGATTGGATTTAATTAGATCGACCTGAACTACTGTATTTACTGACTCACCTATTTATATGTAGATTAGATTAGAACTGATTCGACCTAGATTGATGTATTTACTATTGATTTGCGCCGCCGCCTAATTTGCACACCTCTAAAGTATACTTTTCAACAAAAAAAGTAAATAACTACTACTCGCATATTCTATGTATCTTGCCTTGACAACGAGTAACGACAACGTTGCAAGAACATAGCCATACTGCAAAATGTTTTTTTTTTTACGACAAGCACATGCATTTATCTGGGCTGTCATACTTGAAGTGAAATGAAAGCTGGGGTCAACGTTTAAAGTGCTGACATTTGAATATGTGGTGGTGAGAATGAATTTGTCAAGGTGGAACAGTTTCCTTGATTCTATAGATGAATCATGAATGTCCGCATGTTACCTTGATTTACGTACTCTGCTGTAGACGTGACACTGAAAAATAATTGCAGATTTATTTACACAATCTCACAAAACTGAAATGAAAAATTTAGCTGAAGTTACCCAAGTTCTACCCTTGAAACACGAGCTACCAGCATAAGTGTGTAGCTGAAGACGTTTGGTGTTGCACCACCAATAATAATAATAATAATAATAATATAATAATAATATTATTATTATTATTATTATTATTATTATTATTATTATTATTATTATTATTATTATTATTATTATTATTATTATTATTATTATTATTATTATTATTATTAAAAGACATGAGTAGCCCAGCAAGCTTCAGCTGATAGCAGTTCTAGCCTAGAAAACCAGACGGCCTTCAAGCCGGGCCGAAATCGTGGCATAGACAAAACATGCATAAATCTACAGACGTGAGTCAGATATGCCGTGTGATATGTAGAAGCAACAGGCACCAAAAGAGTGGATATACCAACATGGATGTTAAAGAATGCTTTAGCCAATGTGAAGGACAAGTTGCCGAGCAGAAATTTCCTTAGTCTAGTTTATGCCATAGGCTGACATAATTGTGACCAGTACATCGGTGAAACTGGTAAAAGTTAAACAACACAAATATGATACCACAAAACGAGGCGTGGCCTCGACTGCCCTCCCTGAACACACGGAATCACAGACCACCAAATAGACTTGTAAAACTCTCGAATCCAGATACAGACAACTGTACATACGCTGCACAGGAGTGATGGGAGGCTTCTGACAATGTACTCTCTCTGCTTACGTCACGTATTTAGGCGTACTGAAGTACACTGTGCCTTTTTCATGACTTTTAAACAAGGCTCTCTCCCATATGAGGTACTGAAATGTCAGTAAACTTTGTGTTCTATGGGTCCCTTTCGCGTTTACACTCAGAAGCAAGAGTTATGCACTGTCCTTTTTTTTTTTTTCACACACCTTCCAGCAGCCCACTGTAGTTGCAGCTGAGAGACTTTTTAAGCTTTGATGAATGGCGATGCTTATTTTTGTGACGGTCCCACAGAACTGCTGTCAGTTTTCATGACCTGGCCTGGTTTTTTTGAAATTCCCTGACTTTTCCACGTTGGCAGACACCCTGCTTTTATGTGCACTGTAAATGAACAATACATGTTTCACTAGCATTTCTCATTTGATAGTGAGACTGCTTGACAATAACCCCATCTTTCAAGCGCAACTTAGTACCACATCCCCTGTGCCCCAACGGCAGCTTAACCTGCTACAATCAATGTATTATGTGACTATTCTCTAAAGTAAGCTTCAATTAGACAACTCATTTGTTGTGTTTGCCATGGAACAGTGAAATACCTAAAATTCTTACTTGTTCGAAGTCCGCTGACAGCTGATCAAGATCTCCTGGAAATGATATTACCTCTTCGGCTATATCAAGGAAATATTCGAGCGTGCGCTCCACGACTCTAAATGCTGTCGCAGTTGCCATGCCAAAGCGTCCAGCAACGTCCCTCAGGCACGCCTTGTTTGCAGCAAACCTGACACAGCAAACACACATTATGGAAGAAAGTGATCAAGTAAAGCCTGCTTTGTGAAATAAAGGCATGAAATATTTGCATCAAAATTAGCAGCCGTAAGAAAAGTAGAAGCTCTTAACACTGTTCTCTCTGGCTGTGCAGTTGCAAGCGGTCATATTTCATTGGTTTCCATTGCATCACACTTAGCAACTTTCAAGGACAAAAAGCACAAGCGGCGTAGCCACGGGAAGGCTACTAGGGAGATTTAACGCCGCCGAAATTGTTAAATTTCACATGTGTATATTCTCTACACACGCGCACATAAACACACGAACAAAAATTTATAATGGTTGGACTCCCCGTCAAAATTCTGCGCACGCAACGAAAAAACGTACTTCTACGCCGAAGCACTTGAAAGCATTAAGATTATACACACTGGTAGGCATGACTTTTAAAACAGCGTGCAGACTTACCACAGAAAGACCAGAATGTGCTCTTCCGCGGTTTTCGAGGGGGACCCACCACGATCACTGCATGGGTAGTGACGCGAGCCTTCAAAACCACGGATCAACGTTTCCGCGACACGCCTCGACACCCTGAAGTCTTGACGGAACTGCAGAGAAGGAAATGATAAAAAGATGAAATTAGGTTCATGTAGTATTATGAAAAGAGGGAGCTCCGCGCTTACCTGCTCGTCTGTGTACAGCCGCGCAACGTTCTCGATGAACCCCAAAATTTTGGGACGTTCGCGGTGGGACTCCGAAAAAGTTTCCCGAAAGAAGGCTTCGCATAGCGCTTGTCTTTCCTCGAAGTCTTCGTCGTCTGAGCTGGACGAGCTGCTGCTTGAAGTGCTTTCGTCGCTAGACAGAAGTTCCGCCAAGGCAGCGAACGCAGCCATTTTGCAAAACTCAGCAACGTACAACGACGGAAGTGACGTATGCTGCTCGTCGTGTTTCCGCCCGAATCTGCGACTTGTCGGCGGAGCAGTGCGAGCAATCCGCCTCGGAGCGAGCTGCTCTGAAACTACCAGTGAAAAGCGCGGATCCACTCTGAATCTACCAGTGAAATGCGGTTTCGTCGCCACGGAGCAAAAAAACCTGCTCCGAATCTACCAGTGAAAAACAGCATTAGTCTCGGTCAGGCTAAGTGGTCGCGTCCCCATGTCATTCTCAATGACACGCGTGCCTGTTAACAATGGCTTAGACTCCGACGGTGGCGCCGGACCTGCCTCTCGCTAGACGCTTTTCCTAGTAAGCTTTCCCCTTCTAATCCCGAACGGGGCGACCTTGACTGCTCGGTTTGTGAGCCGTAAAATGCAGCGTGTAGGCGCCTGTCCCAGGCTGGAAAACACAATTTATCCCACATTCCAATAAAGTCGAAAGCCGAAGCTCTGTAATGGCCAGAGAAACAAACCCAAAGGTAGAAGAGTACAAAGAAAGATTTAAAAAAAGAAGCAGGAGTTGGTTTTGCACAAATTTCCTGAGAAGATACTGGAGCTGGAAACCTTGCTCTCGCGACAATGGTGTGGAGCATGCGGTCGCCATGTGGCCCACCTCACTACATCGCGCGCACACCCGTTTCATGCCTCTATATTCGAACATGACCCGGTGCCCCGCAATGGTCGCAAAGTTGGGCACCGGCTTACTCATTTCGATTTTTATGACTCTGACGCCGTTCAACTTATTTTGGCGGGTGGCTACAGTAGCAAACGAGATGCCCCGCACCTTAACGTACTGTGCTACGGCGTTGCCAAGTATCTCGTCAGACAGGTAGGCGGGGTATCGGTAGACGTCGACGTACGTGACCGGCGGCCCAACGGCCTCAACCGGCACGCTTACTCCATTAACCTTGAAACTTTCCGCCACCAATAACTTTGTTGCCTGGCTGGCGTTACGTGTACAGACGAGAAACTTGGCCCCACCCATATGCTGCATAACAAGAACACTATCATCACCAGCTTCTAATTCAATAGCGTCTATAAGATCATCAAGGGATACGTGTGAAGAGGAAGCAGTTCTCCCGCACTGGTAGGTCGGTAGTGGCCGCCATTCTGGAAGGCTGTCGCCAGCAGAAGGGGGCGTGACTTGTAGAAAACTAGTAGCGTGCAGTCGAGCTGCACTCTGGTCAATCTGCGGCTAAGCCTGGGGAGATACTGCTCAGGATGAGGTGGAGTCGGGTGGGCTGCAGGCGGGCTCCGGGAAGGTAGCGTGGACCGGCAAGCGTGCTCCTCCTGGCATGGGGGGGGGGGGGGGGGGGGGGGCTCCGGGCTGGAAGGCCCGAGACCCAGAGGTGGCAGTCGCTCGCACGAGGCAGCGAAGCCGGCAGGACCTGGTCTGACCGTGAAATCCAAAAGCCGAGGAGCGATTGCCCCGGCACCAGATAGCAGTGAACGGAGCGTCGGCCGTCGATCAACTACTCACAAGCGGCGAAGTGCGTCGGCATTTATACTCTTGCCATTGAATGTTCTAGCGTTATCGCTGGCGGTGGCGTAGCTTCCAGAATAATCTGTGCAGTTCGCAGAGGGGACGTGATCTTATCGAAATGATCTACTAAAGTCCGGAAGCTTCTCGAAAACAGCACGCGCGTTTTGCGCTAAGAATTGTGTAGTGTTTTGGGGCGATAACAAAACTTGAGAAATGGAACGTGGCAATATGAAACAGACATGAAAGAGCAATGTTGCGGCGTATATCTAGTGACTGAAATGAGAGGTCTTGTTTTTTTTAGTAATACTTGAATGATAGTCGTAGTTTCCGGAGATGAATCTCGCTGCCCTAATCTGGACGGCTTCCAACATACGTACCAAGTAATCTTGATATGGTGACCATGTGGATGATGCATACCCTAGCTGTGAGCGAACACAAGTAATATATGATAATGAGCGTACGTTAGAAGGAGCGCTGCGCAAGTTCCTGCGGAGATATCCGACAGATTGAGATGCTTTCGATGAGACAGCTGCTATATGCATGCGTAGTCCAGGATAGATCGATGTAAGGTGAACGCCTAAATATTTGTAAGATGGTGTAGCTGACACAACGGCGTTATCAATCTTATAGTGAATTAATCTTATATGGGAAGTGGCTTAAGGAATGGCGGTGGTCAACGCACTGTACACGGACTATTCAGTATATGGAAAACAGCTGCACATTCGCGTACCTCATCGTTGCTTACGAACTTGCTGTGGTAGCTGATTAGGTACGCTGAGGCGCTTCTACGCTCGAAAACGTAGATTATGACCAATTCACACGGAAATCTCTCACTGCACTTATGCACAACCATCGTTTATATTAACAACATTAAACAACAACGTGCCCTGCCTTTGCTGCAGGTGCTTAGCTAGCTCATTGGGCAACCATAAGAAATTATGTGCTGATCATCTGGTCAGCGAAAAGTTTGTTATAACAACCTCGGCACGTTTCGTGGTGCGTGACAACCCTTCTAAACATCAGCGACTATGGATTAATTTGTTCCAGCTTCGACTACGCATTCAGTGTTTGTGGCTCTATACGCGGAATTGCCAGAAAAGAAATTGCGGAAAGAAATTCCTCTGAAGAAAGGGGTACTGATGCTCTCCCGCTATTGCCACCGAGGACGATATAATTATTGTTTCTGGCCATTCCAGGGTGCACTTTGTTTTCCGCAAGTTTTGCTTCACTATTTTTCGCCCACTGCAGTCGCATTCCGTGAAAATATTCAAAGAATCCGAGGCTGGTAAATAACCTGCACCACTGTGCGGCTGGGTGGAAGGAGAGTTGCCATTTACAAGGAGTCATTCTTGAATAGCAATTCGATTGCCTTTCGTGTCGAACTACCACCCGCCGTATGCGCCATAGCGTTTGTTTTTCGGTGCCTTCTTGGCGGGTTTCCCGCTCACCCCACTCACCCGGGCCAGTCTTGCCCCTGCAACGGCGGTGTAGATAAGCGAATAGTTGCGTCACCGAACACCTGTGTCGACAGCTGCGGCGCCGCAACCAGTGCCTCCTCCTTCTCTGTCTTAACGTTGCTCACTCTGTCTCATTCGTCTTTCAAATGCGTTGCGTTGGTCTGGGATCATGGTCGCTGTGTGAGTTCTAGCGAACAGGCGCATCTTCAATGGTGGTCACGCATGACACCGTGTTCGAAGTGATGCTCGAAATAAGGAATATTCATGTAACGGCGGACACGGACAGTGTGGGCCTGTTAACTGTGAGCGTACTGTTTTCGTAGGTAGTAATCATACAGCGCGAGCTGGGCGCCTGCAGCAGCTCTGCTTAAGTAGGCTGCCAGTCATTGAAAACAGCATGCGTTCGCGGGCCTGTTGCAGATGCCCGATTAAACGTGTACCTTAACGAGTTCACACTGCTATGCGCGATGTTGTGCAAGTGCCTGCATCCCTCATACAGTGAGTGATGTGATCCTAAGGGCGCGATTGGTTGCTGATTGCACATTGTCTCTACACTGCTCAAAGTGATTGATATTGTTTCAAGATGCGCCTTAGGCTACATCAAAATAACATTTCTATTAATACTCAAAAGTGCAACGTACTTTTGTAGGTGTTAGCGTAAAATGAAGAAAGAAAAAGAAAAATTTATGTACAGAGGCGCACTGTACGAAATGGCTTTTTTTTTTTTTGCTTAAAGACGGCATAGTTTGAGGTGCTGATATGCCGCGATGCTCCCAGCACGTGCGCTTCGGTCTTTTAAAATATTTAGGATACGTGTAACCAGAAACAGGGAAAGATCTAGTAGACTTCCAAAAGCGCGTTGTTGTGGCCATCACCGTGCGTTGTTTTCCCTCGTTCCTGTATGCTGTTTTTGTGCTTTGCTTTCATCTGCGATAACGTTCGGCGTTATAACAGAATCGAGAAAGTATACGTGACTGTGGGAGCTATGTGCGGTAGCTCTAACATAAGCCGCGGCTGCTGCAACGTAGACGGCGTACGCGCGCGTTGGTGTCGTTCGAGCGCTCCTACTTGCTTGATTGTGTTTAACTGAGTATTTAGGCACGGGTTACGTTTGTAAATCCCGTGGTCAATGATCGCTAATAGCGTGCCCCTGAATTCCAACAGAGGATGGACTTGGTTGTCGAAATATGCCAGACTCTTTTTCTGAAAGCAAGCTTTCAAGAATTTTTTTTTAAAATACTTTCATGCGTGCTTGGCAGTGCCTATTGCAGGGCCGCAAGTCTTTAAAAACTGGACGAGCTATCAATGATTTTATCAAATTGCAATGAATTAAGATGATTGAATTATAGATGACGAATTTTTGTACTAGATTAGGTGCACAAAATGTATGTTCGCAGCCCTACGTTTAGAAAGCAGGCAAATAGGAAGCACAACGTCAAATTTGGATTAGATACCGTGGACGGAGCTTCTTGTGAGGGTGGAAAGAACGAGAATATTGTTCATTTTTGATGCCCTTATAGACTCAGTCAGAATTTCACTGATTGCTGAATTGTCACAATTCCTCAAATTGTTATAGGCGTGAGTAAAATCAGTAAAACTTTTACTTTTTTTTCAGACCTCTTCGTTAGTGCCACACCCAAGATCATTTGTTCTCATGTAAAAGAAAAAGCACAGATGCCTTCACTGTTTGTACACTAAGAGGTAAGTTTCTTGTGCGTTTTGATTAATGCTACATGTTCTGAACGTTGTACTTTGAGAATTGTTTTTCACACTGGCTCACTACCCGATAAGGAATTTGATTGTTAGGTGAGTTCAGGCTTTCGTAAGTGCCATTTTTGAGCTGTAGTCTCACACTTCACCTCAATTCGGGACTTTGCTGTATGCTGGAAAACTATGTTATCTTTATCATATGAAATTATTGGAATGTATGCGTTGTATGCTTCGAGTTCAGTGTAATGTCAGTTACACGTCATTTCAAAGAACACACTACACATTCTTCATATATGGTGCTGCCGAAACAGCATGAACATAATTTTATGAGAAGTCATATTTGCTCTTATCACAGGACTAGAGCGTGCCAATGACGCCCTGCGTAGTCTACCCCGGCCCCACCCTAGAGCAAGCCTAGTTTCTGAACCTCCATGTGCATTACCAAAAATCTTCCATGTCAGTAATGACGAAGAAGGAGTGACAACACTGATGAGTTATGTTTTTATATTTTCAACATTGTCTATGGCCGCAAGGCCT